CATCTCACTGAGATTTTTCTCCCTATCTATTTTCCATTTTTCTCACATTTTCCATCTCTCTACAAACCCATCTCTATAACTTCCATTTTCACAGATCTATACCCCCCCCCCCCCCCAGCCTTCCCAACCAATTTTTTCCTTTCTTCTCTGCAAACCCATCTCCCATTCTCACAGATCTCTCTCTCTCTCTAACCCCATACTCTTATCTCTTTCATGGTATTTTATCTTCTGGTGCTATCCAGAGGAGGATAGGAGCAGGGCTATTGGAGAAGAGGGGCCAGAGTTTCTATATTTTGGACCTGAGAAGAAGGCGAAGAAGAACAAAGAATGCATAAGAATCTCATGTCTATTGGTGTTCAATGGCTCTTTGAGACCTGCAAAGATGTCTTCTCTGTTGCTGTAAACCTTCCATCTTACCCACAAGTTAAAAGGCTTCAGTCTCTTTTAGTTAGCAGGAGACCATCAGATGTTGGTCTGAAATAGCTCATGCCATATTTCCAGACAGATGAAACTGAATGCCACTCACCCTTCGAATATCTTCACCTTTACGAGTATCACAACTTCACAATTGGCATTTTATGATTGCATCTTCACAATCATTCCAACATGACAGTGTGCAGCAAGCTTCTCTTTGGGTTGATTCACATAAAATCTTTTGACTGGGCTCCTTTCCTTTCAACGGGTGAGCCCATCAACCATCTTTTCTTTGCTGGCGAAAGCCAAATCAGAGACAATGAGTTACGTTCGACTAGAAAATTTGAAGGTGGAATCAATGTTTAGGGCCCCATGCAAATGTTTCATTCTCCATCTGACTTTGGGTGGGCTGCATGCATAATTTTTCATGCCTAATGGCATTCATGGTGCTTGCTGTACTGGGCCCACCCTATTGTGACTCTGAGGGAAGGCATTGGACATATTACTATGACTTTCCATACCCACATTTTTCTGGTGATGCAGTTTCAATTGAAGTAAGCAGGGATGAGCATTAAGTATTCCTGGTCAGAAGAGTTTGAGAAGCCCAAATTTATAAAAATAGTGCATGCAATATACATGAGCCCAAAAATTGTCGAAACTTATAGCTTGCTTTATTGTATCACAATTTTAATGGCTGTTAGAGCTACTGCTTCTTTTAGACCAGTGCCTTTCTCATGATCACACTGCCTGGTCCTGTAAATATACATGGGAAAAAATGGCAACAGAAAACGAAAAAGTGTTCGACTATTAATCGTGGAAGGTTTTGCCTTGCCTTTTTTCTCTGCTCGTATGTGTCTTATTGGACTGATTGTGCTTGAATTGTCCATTAAAAAGAAATTATCATAGGTTCATTTTGCATGAATTAGTAAAAGACATGAGAATTTTGATTAGCATGAAGCTTATAACTTCTTCTTTTTCTTGATAACAACAGGAAGCTTATAACTTGGGTTTTCGTATTCATATGTGAACAAATTTATGAAGGGCACATGTGAAATCATATATTGGGTTCTTATATGTTGGTGAGCTATTGGTGTTGATCATCACTACTGCCTTGGGAGCTCTTGAGAATTCTGATTGCAATTTTTTGGAGAATCTTATTGCAATTCCATTAGATATGGTCTCTTTTATTGTGTTTTAGTTTATATGTAATATAGGGTGGCTAGTATTCAAAGGTTCGAATGGAAAGTGAAGTTCTTCTTAGTGCCCTCATACCTTTAACATCATTAGTGGCACTCTATACAACTGTATGTTATTTCAGATAGAAACATGGCTGTTGTCAAGTCCACTAATCATAGGCCTGGAGCATATTTGGTATATCTGTCTGAAGCATTTAATTGATTGAAATGGAAGGTATTAAATTTGCTATTGTAATGGAAAATATTTGTCGCATATTTGTAGTATTAAAGTTTTCATTGGTTGAATTCTGTAGCAAATTTCAGCTGAAATCCAACTAAAAATTGGTTTTTTATACCGGTTGAATGGACCAATTGGGTGGCATTTATATGCTAGCCCCTAATATGTGGGGTGAAATGGTGTTTTGAGTGATATTGATGAAATTTTGTATATTACTTTTCAGGTGCATATCTTACATATCAAAAATCTTCCTCAATATTTATGCTGAAAATTTGGTTTGGAGTCAGAATTGCCTTTATCTATTTCTTTTCTATAATTAATTAGTTATTTTTACTTAAAGCAATCTAAAACTTAACTTTTATTGTGCTTTGGGTCTACTTTGCTTGTAATCAGGCAGTTAAATGGAACTAAGGCTTCAGTTCTTTTATATGTAGGAATGCATACAATATGGTTCTGCACAAGTATGGAGATAAGTTGTACTCTGGTCTAGTCACTACTATGACATGGCATCTGAAAGAGATATGCAAAACTATTGAAGCAGCCCAAGGGGGTCTATTCTTGGAGGAGTTGAATAGGAAATGGGGAGATCACAATAAAGCCCTGCAAATGATTCGGGACATATTAATGTACATGGATAGGACTTTTGTCACCAACAATCAAAAGACGCCAGTGCATGAACTGGGTTTGAACCTTTGGCGGGACCACATCATCCATTCCCCTAAAATCCAGACAAGGTTACTCAATACACTTCTTGAGCTTGTACATAGAGAACGAACTGGAGAAGTCATCAACAGAGGGCTGATGCGCAATATAATAAAGATGCTTATGGATTTGGGATCTGCAGTTTACCAAGAAGACTTTGAGAGACATTTTCTTGAGATCTCAGCCAACTTTTACAGTATTGAATCTCAGCAGTTTATAGAATGTTGTGATTGTGGAGAGTATTTAAAGAAGGTTGAGAGGCGGTTGAATGAAGAGATGGAAAGGGTATCCCACTATTTAGATGCTAGAAGCGAAGCCAAAATTACAAACGTTGTTGAGAAGGAGATGATTGCCAACCACATGCAGAGATTAGTTTATATGGAAAATTCAGGACTAGTGAATATGCTTGTAGACGACAAGTATGATGACTTATCACGAATGTATAATTTGTTCCGCCGGGTCCCTAATGGGCTATCCACTATCCGAGACGTTATGACTTCTTATCTTCGAGACACTGGAAAGCAGCTTGTAACGGACCCTGAGAAATTGAAGGACCCGGTGGAATTTGTGCAAAGGCTCTTGGATGAGAGAGATAAGCATGACAAGATCATCGTCCAGGCCTTTGGCAATGATAAGACTTTCCAAGCTGCTCTAAACTCATCCTTTGAATATTTCATCAATCTCAATGCGAGGTCACCTGAGTTTATTTCTTTATTTGTTGATGATAAGCTTCGGAAGGGACTGAAGGGGGTTAGTGAAGAAGATGTCGAAATCATACTTGACAAAGTCATGATGCTCTTCCGATACTTGCAGGAGAAAGACGTCTTTGAGAAATACTATAAGCAACACCTAGCTAAGCGACTCTTGTCTGGAAAATCTGTTTCAGATGATGCAGAGAGAAGCTTAATAGTTAAGTTAAAGACAGAATGTGGGTATCAGTTTACATCTAAGTTGGAAGGCATGTTCACTGATATGAAGACCTCTCAAGATACGATGCAGGGTTTCTATGCTAGCTTGTCATCTGACACCAGTGATGGTCCAACCCTAGCTGTCCAGGTTTTGACGACTGGTTCTTGGCCTACTTGGCCAAGTGCTTCATGTAACCTCCCTGCTGAAATTTTGGGTGTTTGTGAAAAGTTTCGAACTTACTACCTTAGCACACATACAGGTCGGAGATTATCATGGCAAGCAAACATGGGCACAGCGGATCTTAAAGCTACCTTTGGCAAGGGTCAAAAGCATGAGCTTAATGTCTCGACCTATCAAATGTGTGTTCTAATGCTGTTCAATTCAGCTGATCGATTAAGCTATAAAGATATTGAACAGGCAACTGAGATTCCATCATCAGATCTTAAGAGGTGCTTGCAATCCTTGGCCTTGGTGAAGGGGAGAAACATATTACGCAAGGAGCCCATGAGCAAAGATGTGGCAGAAGATGACGTTTTCTTCTTCAATGACAAGTTTACGAGCAAGTTTTACAAGGTTAAGATAGGGACAGTTGCTGCCCAGAAGGAGTCAGAACCGGAGAAACAGGAGACGCGACAGAAGGTGGAGGAGGACCGAAAGCCTCAAATTGAGGCTGCTATTGTGAGGATCATGAAGTCGAGGCGTGTCTTGGAGCATAACAATATTGTAGCTGAGGTTACAAAGCAGTTGCAGTCACGGTTCCTACCTAACCCTGTTGTAATAAAGAAGAGAATTGAGTCACTCATTGAGCGTGAGTTTTTGGAGAGGGACAAAACTGATAGAAAACTGTATCGTTATCTTGCTTGAACCATTCCCCGCGTGCCCTTGGCTTTGCTGGCTTAATTGGTGAGCAAGGCTGTCTTAAAATCCAGTTTGATTTTGAACTTTATAATGTGCAATTCTCTCATCTGTTTCTTACTGCTTTGCATTTCTTTACACCGATGAAAAGTGTTAGATTGATGTTCTCCAGGCTTCATTTTAGTCAAGCCTGGAGCACATTTCTTGGTGACGAACAGTTGCTAGGATTTTCTTCATATTGTCCATGACTTCTTATCTTGCCATAAAGTGGTTGGTTTCTGTGACAAATTTGTTTTGGGGTTGTTGAACAAATCTCTCTGTTGGATGGGACTCATTCTTCATTGACTGGTATTGTAAGTGACATGTATGGAATATTGCGCACCTGATTCATATTATGCTTGTAGCTTGTTGTGATTGGAGCTTCGCTAAAACCTTAATTTTGGTTATACCATTACTCGGATTACTTGATGTTCTTTGGTTGTACGTGACATTAAATGGTGGATATCTTACCACAGTGCCACTATTTAAAAATTATATCTCACTATAATGGCACTTCTTGTGGTGTATTCTGAGGGAGGCAGGGAGTTACATAAAGATCTTGGGTAATTAATATTGCTTCTGTTAATAATAGTTTCTGTTTTGACTGAAACTGTTGGGGTGTTTGACTGTAACTGTTGGGGTGTATCTAATGAAGTTTGAAGCATAGTCAAAACTTCTGATTGGGCATTTTAGAGTTCAAGGAGAAGTTTGAATTAGAGGAATATTCACCCTCCAGTTAAAGCAGTCTATTTTATTGGTCATTAATGCTGCTAATTGTGTAGTTCACAAGATGGAGAATATCAGGATTATCCTGACATCTAGTCAACTTTCCTAGCGATTATTCTGATGTCTAGTCAACTTTCCTAGCGTAAGTTAAAATCTTACGTGTACTTGTCATGGTTTTAGTCCCCACATGGACAGGAAAAATTTCGTAATAGGGCCATTTTTTTTCTCCACCCATTCCAGAGTGAAAACAGCCTTCTTTGTTTAGTCCTATAGTCAAGTGTGAAGGACTTTTGGTCCCCTGCTTGAAACACTATCAAAACAACCATAACCCTGCAGAAAGGCCTCTTTTTCCTTAAGTGACAAATAACTCCATTCCTTTAATAGACTTGTTGGGTTGACTAGGACTCCTGTTTGTTACTTCTTTTATCTAACAAAATAGTTGGCTTTGTATGTATTTGTGCCACCTGGAGTTATTTGATAGTGGACTCAGCTCAAACATGATAAACTTACGTTTTCTGTCTGCTAGGGAAAAAGTTACGGAGTTTGATTTTTCTTTTTAAGAGAGAGAGCTTCTGGCCAGGGTGATATTAATATGTATCTTTTGGAGTCTTCTGGAGAACAGTTTGCATGTTCTTACTGAAATTAGTTGACATTTGTGCTGAAAATTGATTAGGTTGTTGCATAACTTCCAAGAATTGTCTCTTCCTTGTGTTGCGAGCTGCAATTTCATGGCACTCAATTTGGGCTGTTCCCTTAAAAAAGATTAGTATGGAGGATGAATCCTCTTTCTATTTGTGGGGATTTGCATCCCATGTTGATTGGAATTCTGTTCTTCGGAGAATGGTGCAGATTTTGAAAGTTTTGTAAATCTTCTGGCCTTAGTTTCATTATTTGGGAGTTATTTGTGTCTACGATTGGGGATAAATGAAACCTTGTTTTAGCAGCCTATAAGTCGCTTCTGGAAATGATTACCCCTCATTTGGGGAATGTTTTATGGATTTTGACATAGGGTGCGGTTTGTATAGAGCCTAGGCTCTAAACTATCAAATTAGAGCTTACCTTCAAATAGTATCAAGAAATGTGGTTTCAATACTGGAAATCCTTGTGATAGCGTTAAAATATATTTTCATCTTTACTTATAAAGTTTAAAGCTTCAAAAATAGTGTAGATCAACAATTCTATGAAAACCTGAAAATCTTGAAAATTGACGGTCCAAAAATGTGTTACAAAATACATTATTTCCAAAACTTGAAATCCATTTTTTTCTCATATCCATGCATCTTGGTGTCGAGATGATCAATCTGAGGATAGTTGGGCATCAAAACAACTTCGTCTAGTGAAATTCTTGAGGTAAGCTCAAATTTGATTGTTTAGAGCCTCGGCTCTATATAAACTTTTCCCTTTGACATAAGTCATGGGTCTTCTTGATCTTGTATAAGTTGGACAGGGTATTCTTGATATCATATATAAGCTGGATACCTATGTATGGTCTTCACATGGTTTCTCATAACTAGCTAATATTCTAGGCTATTGATGAATTGTTCATTAAGTTGATGTGTGCGGACATTGTGATAACATACATTATGACAACATTGTTATCTCTATTAGGTTATTCTATAATCGAGCAGAAATGTGGGAGATTAAAAATTCTCGATATTTGGTTGGAGGTCTCGTGGGGCCATGGTGAATGGGGCTATGAGATGGATGACCAAAAAAAGGAAATGGGACTATGAGATGGATGAAGTTGGCATGGACATGGTTAGGAAAGGGTTTGGATTTGTTAATTTTTAACAAATAGAGTTGGAGACTTTTGGTGGTGTGCAATCTCAGTGGTTTGCAGTGAAGAGGTTCTTAAGGTGTTAGTTGGATTCTAGAACATTGAGGCAAATCTTAGCCTTGGAAGCATCTGGAGATCATCACCAGTGGTGTATGGTTCAGGGCCAAGTGAGATGAGTAGGTTGAGTATGAGAAGGTTGAAAGCTTTCTTGGGCATTGGACTTTGTGTTCAGCACCAGGAGCGCATGAAGTTTCTGTCGAGTTCAACATGATCATAATTTAGGTAATAATTATGCTTACCCTGATGAGTACGAAGAGTTCTACTACTAAAAAAATGTACGATAATATGACACACCACCCAAGTAAAAAATATATGACAATGATTTAACCCTTCTGAGATGAGAGGTGATTTATATCTTGAAGGATTAAGGGATGATGTTGGTGAAATAAAGATGCCAAAATCAGTGTAGACACACTATCCTCAAGAGAACCAGGCTAGCATTTTTTAAGGCACGAAGAGAACCGAGATTGCATGGCAATGAGGTCTTCTAGAATTGAATGGCATACATAATTGAACACTTGAATTATTTGGGTATGCACTTCTTGGCCTCCTTGTGAACTTCAATTATTTGGTGTACAAAAAGGACCACCTGATGAATTGACCCACTCCATTATGTGCATAGAGAGGATGCCCCAATGGTGTAGGTTTTGTAGCCTACTAGAGTAGCTTCTAGTATGTTGTATGACTGGTGAGAGGACTGTAGTTGGTTTTCTAAACCTTATGTTAAAGATACCCCAAGTGGTGGAGGCTTGCACTGTGCACTCTTCAATTCTTTTAGAATTTCTGATTTTAAAGTTCATCTATGAAAAACATCTAATTTATCAAGATCCTATGAGAGTAATATAATCAAGCCAGATCAGAAAAAAGGAAAACATTATTAGTGAGCCTTTCAAGTGCATATTTGTCTTGTGATAGACACACATTTGATAAAGTTCCTCATGAAGAGGCAAGCAAAAAAGGATTAACTATGAAGTTTTTAGAACTGGAGTTTAAAAATCTTATCACATTCGATTTTTTGTCTGATGGTAACCCTGGTTTGCAGGTGATGCTTTGTTACCCCGAATAGTGCCATCTGCCTTGAGCATTATTCTTAGTGAGCATCATTTCTACCATACCCATGGAGGAGGCACTAAGGTCCAACTCTGAAGTCCAACTTTGATTCTTTTGTAAGGTAAGAGAATTCATTTCTCATTGCAGCGTTTTACCAATTTGAACACTGATTGGTCTTCTCGAATGATCGAGGTCCATCAATGGTTCTGTACATAACAATAGCCATTTTGATCAATTTTCTCCATCTATAAAGGTATCATGCTCATATGATGCCTTCATGTACACTACATATATGAGAGATCAACTCTAATACAGACACTTCTTTCTGAATATCTACAATCTTTGCACAAGCATTTGAGCTTTCATTTGTCATACATGAATGTATAACATGGATGCGTGCATGCATTTTAGATGTGCATAATGTGTATGTGTATGTATATGTAAAGTCCGCATCCATACGGATACCTTTGCAGGTATCAACAACCAAGAAACTTGTTACTATGTCGTGCGTGCCTTTTTAAGCTCCCCCCATGTCATGCTTTTTCACCTACTTTGTGCATAGAAGTTTCCAAGAATAGTTGTCAGTCCATTTCAGAACGACACTGTTATTTTCAGGGTTGTTTTGGAGTTCTATTCCAAACTATTTCTCCTTACTATTTGTCCTCGGACAAGGTTTTGATGAATCTGATGACTCATCCATTTAAGAGTCCTCTCTCTCCAAAAATTTAGGGGTATGTCAACTATGGTGAGCATAAATCTGAAAAAAGAAAAAAAAAATTTAAAACAAAAAAAAAAAAAGATAAAAGTGAGTGTTTTTTTCGTATAATTTTAACAGTAAGTTTCAAGTTTTGGTGGGGCTGCTGTTTCTTAGCTTCATCCATCGACAAGATGGATGCTTGATGCATCAGGGAACGCTATTGTGAAAATGTGTCACCTGACGTACCAAAGACTTTCCCTTTTTCCTCATTCCATGAGACTCTCTGATTGGACCAACCAATTTTCTTGCTCTGAGGACAGTTTGTGTGGGTCATGTTGGCGATCTAACCGGTAACCGCCCGGTTAGATCGACCGGTATTTTTAAAAAAGATTCAAAAAATTATATATATAATCCCAAAAATAAGGAATTTTATTTATAGTACATTTTTTAATATTCTTTACATTATGGTAAAGATTAGAAATTGTTTTGGTCATTAATACTCATTTTTTATATTTTCCCATTTTTTTCGAAAAATTTTAAAAATACCCCTAGCCACCTTTTAAAATCTATTTTTTTTCATTAATTTTCAACTTCATTTGAATGTGTTTTGTTTTAATTATTTTTTATATGCATTTCATATTTTAGTAGATTTTTTTTGTTATTTTTTTCAACAATTTTTTGACTGTGTTGGGACTTGCTCAGTGAGAACGGTTGAATCGGCCGGTTAGGCTGGTTAAACCACATTTGGTCATGGGCCAGTTAACCGTTCCGTCGGATTTTGCTTGTGGGTATTTTTTACCAATAAGTCTCCTTAAGGGCATGAACTCTAAGGTGAATTTGATGTGTCCCAAAGAAAAACGCGCTTGGGATTCCTAGAGCCCCATTGGACATTGAAATAGGGAACCCAAAAGATCAAATGGAATGATACATGGATCGCGATAGTCAGGTTGGCGGCACAACCTGAACTTGCGAGTTCCATTCCCCACTTTAGCTGTTAACATGTCTAAAAAAACTTTAAAAAAAATAAAGGAAGAAAGAAAGAATGAGAAAACCGTAAACCCCTTCTAAAGTGTTCCTTGAATTTAAGGCGATTCATCATTCATCATTCAAAAGGGAAGGGGGAGCTAAAGAGTTTCGCCTTTTATGTTGTAATGGATTCCATCGTTGAGGAAATAATTAAAAATAAGAGATGTATAAATGTAATATTCATTGTACCCCACTAGGAACTTGAGCTTTATACAAGTCTCAACCTTATACTTTAGAAATAGGGTACACCTCAAAAACCCATTGAAAAAGGTTGTTTTGTTTCTAAAAAATTCTCCAATGGATCATCTTGATCTTGACTTTAATATGTATAGATATGAAAAAAAAAAAAAGAACTTTGAGATCTAAAATTAGTCCATCTTTATAACACATTATTTAAGCTGTTTTTTTTCAAGCTTTTCGAGTGCTCATAGATATGATAGATTTGTACCATTTTTGGAGCTTTTAATTTTATTATAGGGGTGGGGTGAAAAATAGAGTTAAGCAATGATAAGCGTTTTGGCACTGAAAATACACCTTGTAATGAAATTTTGAGAAGTACCTTATAAGGTTGTCACCTTATACAAACCTCACCCATAAGCATTTTCTCCTTCTCTAATGTGCTATGGGCGTTTTGGTGGTATCTCTTGTGGCAAGGGGGGTTTCGAGAGGCTGCCAACCATGAATATGGGGACTTTCCAAGTTGGCCCAGTTTGTAGTACAAGTTGGTAGGAAAAAATTTATAAAAGAAAGGGTCCTGTTAGCAGATTATAGTCAACCCAAACAGGAATGAAAAGCTGTTTACAAATTGTGGGGATTATTTCATCATTATCATCATCCGAGTATTCTCTTAACTATTTTGGGGTTGTTTTTACGAATCACATTCTGCCGTATTGCTCTATTAAGAATCATATTTTTAGTTATATTATAAGTTATTATATCTTTGTTCACTATTTCCATCAATATTTTTTGGGGTCTTACTTTTGCCTTTTAGAGCGCTTCCATTCGAACCAAATTACCCTCTCTAAGCATTGTCGTTTTAGGTCGACATTGCACATGATCAGACCACCTAAGCTTATTTTCTTTATTGTATCTCCTATTGGAGCTATCCCTAAATTCCTTCAAATGTATTCATTTCAAATTTTGTTATTTTTTGTCTTGCCACTAGAAGAATAGAAATCAAAATGAATACATTCGAGGAAACTTGTATAGCTTCAATAGGCAATAAAATGAGAGGAAGTGGACTTTCGTGGTCTGGTAATATGCAATATCAACCTAAAACAATTAGTAGAGGTGATTTGGTTCAAGTGGAATACTCTAAAAAAGTAAAAAGAATATCCTAAAGAACACAGATAGAAATAATGAGAAAATCTATTCTATCACGTGTACTTTGTTCAAAGGAACCACTGTTACGACTCAACAACATAACTCCATCAATGGCTATTGTTAACACTCAAATGAGAACCTCGTAGACTCGAATGTGAGGTAGCTCTGATCAAAGGCACCCTAAACTTAAATGAAACGTAGAATTAATCACATTTACAATTATTGCATAAAAGTAAACGCAATCGACATCGTAAAAACATGAATTTTATGCATCAAAATAAAAAAAACTCTTATAGGACTTCATGAAATGTGAAGGGAATGACCTCCAATTCACAGAGTTCAAATACATGAGCTTGGGTTAAAGAATTAACACAACCATATTTTCAGGTATGGAAATATAGGTAAACTCTAATTTGGGAAATCAATTGGATCAGCCTTCTCCTAATGGAAATGAAAGATAATGGTTCAAACTATAATTTGGGAAATCAATTGGATCAGCCTTTTCCTAATGGAAATGAAAGATAATGGTTCAAAAAAAGAGAAAAATACCAACAACACCAAAATCACTCTACAACTAAGTGAGCTATACATATTTACTTAAAGATATTTACTTAAAGGAAGAGTCTTAAAAACGTCTATACGCGAATAAATACAGTGTTCGCCCCCGTCACGGACATAGCATGTCAGTGATGATTTCCCCTAAAAACCGTCACGGACCTATAAAAGCCGTGATGGTCCCCATACAATTTTTGGGTGAAAAAACTCATGTCCGTGACGATCTTTAATCTACGCCGTCCAAAAAAATCGGATAGCGCCGAGCCTAGGGGCCAAAATATTGTTCATTTTTTCCCATAGGCATTTTGTAGTCTTTTCATTTACTGAAAGGGATTGTCTACAACTACAAAGATAATATTTATCTTTTATACATGGAGGTCACAATCATTCTTGTCCCTTAAATTTTAAAATGGGTAATTGTAAGACTGTCATTGAAAAGGCACAAAGGTCTAAAAAAACAATTTCTCAAACTTCGTGATTCACCCTAATTTGATATCTAATGAGTAAGATTGACCATCCAATTTGACATCTAATGAGTGAGAATGATTGTGACCTCTATATACAAAAGATAAATGGTCTCTTTGTAGACAATCCCTTACTACAAAATGAAAATACATCATAAAATAGAGAAGCAATTTATCGTAGTGCACAAGATATATCAACATATCGACTCAATTAGTCTAATTAAACAAACAATATGCATCCATATACCATGAACATAATGAAATGTAGAAATGTGGACTTTCTCATAATTAATGTGCCAAGCAAAAATCGAAATGTGGACTTTCTCATAATTAATGTGCCAAGCAAAAATCCCTCTTCTATAATAGTTTCTTTTGGTGGATCTCTTTTTCTTTATACAACTTTGTACATCTGTCTCATTGTGCATTTTCTTCTCGTAAGGAGGAAAAAAAAAAAACACCACTCACCAATTAATTGGATCGTCGATGCTTGTGACCAAAACTTTTCTGTGGTCGTGTGGATCATGGTATGCTTTGGCAGTTTGGTCGTTTCTTGCAGAGACCCAATTAGAATATTGAACTGGTCACCCACTAGGCCAATCTGGAACAGTAGTCCCATTCTAACTTCTGATTCTATGAGGAAATCTTATACAAAAGTATGATTTTTAATGGGCAAGTTCTTAAATTTTGGTTTTCAATCTGGCCCCGCCCCCAAAAAAAGAAAAAAAAAAAAGAATTTTTTAATATGTGCAATATACAGCAAAAAGAACTGAGCCTAATCCAACTTGCCCTGACCTAGCTCGAGAATATCTTTCGGGCCCACCAAGCTAGCCTAGGATTAGCCCACAGGTCTTGACATGTGGCCGAACCTGCCCTAAAACTGGGCTCGGCCCAAAGCCCGTGGGCCTGCTCGGGCCCAGTAACAACCCTAATTGCAAAAAATAAAAACCAATGAAACCTAGTAGGAATTAGGTTGGACAAGCATTTCCGACACGACTCACACGTTTGCCAGCCAGCTCGCCAGTTTTGGAAGTGCTATATATGCTCTATACTAAAGGTATGAATACGTGTAGCTACTGCTCTAACTCAAATTAAGAATGGTGGAGATAAGGCATTCACCAAAAGAGTGGTATAATGATATGTATATTGTTTTATTTAGAGTGTGAGTGTAGTTTGCATAAGGTCCCAATCTTAAACAATCAACCTAAGGCATACCTCTAACTTTTGCTAAGTGATGCAGAGCTGGTTCCAGAAACCCTAAAAATCGATTTTTGCACCTAAATATAAAATTCAAAATTTAAAATTAGTATAGATTAGGCGAATCTATACCCACTTAATTTTTTTGAAAATAGATGGTCCAGATAATATGTCACAATATGCACTCTTTTTATAAATGGAAATTTTTTTTGTTATATCCAACTATCTATACAACTTCAAGTCGATATGATCAATTATAATATTTTTTTTCCATTGAAATAACCTTGTTGATTAAACTTTTGAGGTGGACCATACTTGTTGATTAAATTTTTGAGGTGCACTTTACTTCTACTGGATTACACCTTATATATACTTTGGATGAAGTTTATATAAGGCTTAAGCTTTAAGAAAACAAAGTAAAGCTTCACCTCGAATCCTTGTCCAGAAAGCACTTTGGGCATAGAAAATCTCCATGATGACTCTAAATTCAATTTACAACACCGACTATGAAATTTGAAGCTCAAAAAATAATACAAAACTTGTAGGTTTGTGAACACCCATTTTAGGGCAAAATAGACGTCTAGATAATGTGTTATAATATACATTATTTTTAAGATTTGAAATCCTAATTTTCTTTCAAAATCATAGTAGTCAAGGCCGAGATAATCCATTTGAAGATCTTCTAATACTAGAACTGCAATATCATGTGAATTTGATGTCCTTATCCAAACATTTTTTATTTTTTTTTATTTTTTGTCATGGAGGGTTATCGTTTACAATTCTCATAGTATGAGGAGATCATTTTAGCAATTTTTCCAAGAGTAATGATCTTATTAGACCCTCCGACACTCATGTGTGTAGGATCTCAAAAGATCATCATGAAAATTGACATGGATCTCTATAAAAGTTATTACATATATGTGGGATTTGAATTTTCTATAGATCCATACCAAATTTTATGATGATCTTTTAGAGTCCTAACACATAGATGACGGAAGTCCTATAGAATCATTTCTCTTTTTTTGAACCGACATCGATTATAAAGGACCACTTGATCATTTTAATAAAGTTAGGGCCTCTTATTATTCATTTTCTTTGCTTTTTCTTTAAAGATAAAGTTTTGCTTCAAACGGCCCGACTTCCCGAACATTCCAGCTCCTCTCTTCTCTCAGTGGCACTCTCTATCTGCACTATAAAAGCCCTAGAAACCCTAGACTTAAACTACGTCTCACTTTTCGACTTTCCCTCTTTAGATTACTCTCTCTTTGATTGAGGATTGTATCCGCTTCAAATATGAGGTTGGGTTTCTAACGAATTCTCTCAGTTTTCTTCATTTTTTTATGTTAATTTGGAATTTATATTCTTATTTTGTTTCTATTTAGTTAATTTTCTGCAATTATTGACGTGTTTTCACAAATTACCAACGCATTTCCTCTAATTTGATGCTTATACAATGCATTTGTGGTCTCTGCTTTTCCCGTCATAAAACTGTGGTTTGTATTTTTTTTGGATTGTTTTCGCTTATTTGATGAGTTAATGGAGATAATGGCGATTTTCTGGTCAGGACATGAGATAAATCATGTTTACTTTGAGGTTTGCCAATATTGTGTAGAATCGTGATACTGTGATATTTCTTTAATTTTCATTTTTTTTATTTACTTGTTCTGTCCTCTTTGGTAATGGTTGTCTCTGCAATTTTTGCCATGAAAGAATAATTATCTCTGTATGTGAATTTTATCTTCTTGTAATTTTAACTTTAGGGCTCTCTCTCTCTCT